TGGAATCTAGTCTTAAAAGAGAAAACTACTCAAGGGGTGCCTGGGTGGCCCAGTCGTTAAGTGTCTGCCTTTGGCTCAGGTCATGATCCCAGGGTCCTGGGATCAAGCCCCACATTGGGCTCCCTGCTCGGCGGGAAGCCTGATTCTCCATCTCCCACTCCCCCTGCTTGTGTTCCCTTTCTCACTGTCTCTCTCTCTCTCTCTGTCGAAATAAATAAAATCTTTTAAAAAATAAAAAAAAAAAAACAAAGAGAAAACTACTCAAGACTATGTCCATGACTTTGATGCTTTTCTTAAATGAGTTTATTCCCCATCATATGCACCTTAGGTGGCAAAAAGTTGAAGCTTTACAAGCTTGAAATGTCAGAGCAAAACCCAAGGCTGGCAGAGAAGCTGGAAATTAGAGGAGAATCACTGTAAGTCAGAAAAAACACAAAGAGGGTGGTCCCCATCACTAACTGACCAACAAATTATGTAGTATAGGGTAGATCACTCCACAGACCAGCCATGAGAAACTATGAGAACAGAGCAGAGATAGAAGCAACTTTATACCACAAGAGAGGAAATGTTGGCAATCTAAATTCAGGCAAGTTAACCACCTGATGGATGACTGCACCATCTGCCCTCCTCCTCTACACCGCTCCCCCTGCACCTCCCGCCCCAGACCAAATCAATAATCCTCATAAGAAAACAACAGAATCTGCAGTCACTACAGTATATTAACTACAATGTGCAGTCTTCAACTAAGACTACTAGGCATATAAAGAAACAGGGAAGAGAAGTTTGAAGAAAATGCAATCAATACAAAGGGACTCAGTGTACCAGATGTTTGATTTAGCAAAGACTTCAAGGATTTCCTTTATTTTGTTAAAATAGCAATTATATTGATTGATGTTTGAGTGTTTAAATCTACCTTGGGTTCCTGAGATAAATCTCATTTGATCATGAAAACTGTACATATTTTTCCAGTTTTTCATGAAAATTGTACATAAATTTTTAAATTTGGATTTTATATAAGATCTTACATCCATGGCAAATCACAAAAACCACTGAAATTAGCACTCCTTTCTTCTGTTATTTCAGATTTTAAAAACCAAGAATTTTGTCCTAAAATATAAACTCCATAAATGTAGACTTCCATGTATTTCTTTTATATCCCTAACAACTAGTACAGTGTCTGACATGGAATAGGTGCCCAATAAATATTTTTTGAATGAATGAATGACTAAAAAACGTGCTGAAATTAGCAGTTGGATCTATGGAATAAGAATTGCAGATATTTTCCATCCATGATAAGGTAATCAAGGGCCCATTTATTAATCTTGTTTTTGTAACCGTGTCTATTTTAAGATTTCTTAATACAAGTTCAGTAGAAGTAGCCCAATAAATTAATCAATACTAGCTAAATATTGATATATGTTGTGAATTTAAAAAAATGTAAGATACGGAGGGAAACAATAAATCTGTAGATTAAAATCATTTCTAGAGAAGGATTTAATTTAAAAATAGATAATGGGTGAATATATACTTAAATTTTTAAAAAACATATTTGAATATGTGGTCTTTCAATGATCTGACTCTAACTTTAATACTCCACTGGTCTATTGATTAAGAAGATATGACAGTTTGTGCCCTCAAAGGAAAATAAAATGACCATAATTATGTATTATTGAGTAAATCTCTAAGAAAGGTATCAGAGGTTCCTTAAGCAAAGCAAATCCCCGTCGTTTAGAAATTCTCTTTATTAGGGCGTACAGGATGTTATTAGGTTGGTCACTAGAGGGTGCTGGTGTTTCAGACCAACACAATTCAGACTCCGCTTTGACACCAAAAGGTGCCAACCAGAATCCAACAGGCAGCATCCTATTCTGTGACTCCTCAGATTCCCTAAATCAGTAGTTTATAAGGTAAATAACTACAAAGCAGACAACTTAGAATTCTAAGATGAAGCAAATCGCTGAAAGGAGGGAAGTGTTACACAAAAGATCTGAGGGCGCTCAGACGGTTGAGTGTCTGCCTTCGGCTCAGGTCATGATCCCGGGATCCTGAGATCGGGTCCCGCATCGGGCTCCCTGCTCCTTGGGAGCCTGTTTCTCCCTCTGCCTCTCTCTCTCTCTCTCTGTCTCTCATGAATAAATAAATAAAATCTTGAAAAAAAAAGATCTGAAATGCAACACATTTAGAGCTTTGGTATGGAGTTGAAAAAGAGTCTAACATTAACTCTTCCATACTATGAGATGCTTGTTACTCTTACAAAGTCCAGTTAGCTACAACATGCACTGCAATAGGGAAAGTAAAATTTCAAGTCAAATATTCATAAAGATGAGAATAATTTTTGATGTAACTGGGAAACATCAACTTCACTTTCTTTGCTGTATGAGTCATGAAAATGTCTTAAGTCTTTTAATATATAATTACACTAGAGACTCAATGCTGAAAAATTTAATTTGATATGTATTTTCATCCAAATGCTTTAGATAAAGTATATATCTAATAATAACATCAATTATGATTTTATTTTTAAAATGACATTTTAGAAAAAACTTTCACAATTATGGGTTTCAGATTAATTTGAATTAATTAGACAAAAGTTTGGGGAAGATTTAAAAAGTAAACCACTTTACTATTCCTTCCTAGCTCTTGTTCTCATTAGAAATATTTTAAAAGAGAAAATTCATGGGATGCCTGGGTGGTTCAGTCAGTTAAGCATCTGCCTTTGGCTCAAGTCATGCTCCCAAAATCCTGGGATCGAGTCCTGCAGAGCAAGGAGCATGGTCCTTGCTCAGCAGGAAGCTTGCTTCTCCCTCAGCCTGCCTCTCCCGCTGCTTGAGTGTGCTCTGTCTCTCTCTGACAAATAAATAAATAAATAAATAATCTTTAAAAAAATTAAGGAAAATTCAAAAGTGTAAAAATTTTTAAATGACATCAAAACACAAAATGAATAATAATGTCATTAATGCATGCTGTTAAAATGAAGTTTACATTTTTGCTTTTCTCCTTTAAAAACTATATAAATTCGGGGCACCTGGGTGGCTCAGATGGTTAAGCATCTGCCTTCGGCTCAGGTCATGATCCCGGGGTCCTGGGATCCAGCCCGGCGTCGGGCTCCTGGCTCAGCGGGGAGCCTGCTTCTCCCTCTCCCTCTGCCTCTCCCCCTCCTCATGCTTTCTCTCTCTCTCTGTATCTCTGTGTTTCAAATGAATAAATAAAAAAATCTTAAAAAAATAAAAACTATATAAATCCGGGTGCCTGGTTGGCTCAGTCCGTTAAGCGTCTGCCTTCAGCTCGGGTCATGATCCCAGGGTCCCGGAATCAAGTCCAGCATCAGGATCCTTGCTCAGCGGGAAGTCTGCTTCTGCTTCTCTCTCTGCTCCTACCCCCTTCCCCCACTGCTCGTGCTCTCTCTCTCTTGCACTCTCGCAAAAATAAATAAAATCTTTAAAAAATTAAAACTATATAAATCCTCTAATATTTTTCAAGCTCTCATACAGAATCAATACAACAGCACAGAAAGAATGTGAGAATATACTCCATTCTCATGACCTACCATTCATTTACAGCCAAAAAAGATAACAACTAAGCTAGGAAAGGCAAAGGAACTAAAGGGGGCTTGCTCCAGAAGTCAATCTGAAGTCTGAGTAATGGTATTCATACAGCTATATGATCCGGTTTAATTTCTTGAATATGAGGAAAAAATGAAATTTACAAATATTTTAAAATCTTTTCATCTCCTGGACAATGTGAAGAGGCAGAAAAACCAGACCCTTCCAAAATGTGGGAACAATGTTACTATTGGTCTTCACCTGCTAAGAGTGGTTATGGTATCCACGCAAACGACACTGTAAAGATGGAGGCTGGAGAATTGCTGGAAGACCTTGCGCATAGCCTTTAACTTCATGGAGCCTCAGTACCTCATCGTCAAAGGGGGTAATGATAGCAACAGGACCTTGGAAGATCTCTGATCAAACGGAAAACTGCTTGTGAAAACACACTAAATATTGGTTTAATAAAAGATGTTACTAGACAATTAGGCCCATTTTCACTAAATGTGAAGACTTTCCTAACATCTAACTGCAGTTTCTAGTCCTAACTGTATGAGAATGGGCAAGGGTTGGAGAGTGGTTGGAGGCTTTGGAAGAGCGTGCTTCTCTCCGCACCCCAGTCCCTCCAGCTCCCATAGGCTGGCGGGCGGCAGTTGACTTCATTATCTCAGACAGGCAAGTGGCTGCCACCTGCCTCTAGCCACTTAAGCCCTAGCTAATTTTTTAACGAGGGCGGGGGGAGATTTTAGGTGGAGAGCGGTAGCTGAGATTTCATCTTTGAATCCACTCTCCGATTTTGTTTCTCTTTACGTATTCCCTTTGTTGCAAGGCACTATTAGTTTTATATTTTCAGAGCGCCCCCTGGCAACAGAGCAGCTTGGTCGGCTCATGATCGTTGTGGAGTCCCCAAGTACAGAAAGGGAGAAAAGTTCACATTCAACTATGCAGTGTGGTCGGCCTGGATTGCTTAGGGACAGGTGAGTTACACTTGCCAGGGTTACAAAAGAGCTTCGGGAGGAGGATCCGGTCCCTACATTAGCGTCGGTGGGTGGGTAAGGAGAGGGGCGGGCGCTCAGGTCGGCCTTGGCAACTTGCCTGGGGTCTGGAAGCGCAGGAAGACATTTTACCCCGGGCCGCCCGCGGCCGCTCCTCTGGCAAAGAAGAGGAGGAGGCGCGACGCAGCGAAGGGAGGACCGACTAGGCGTCCCCTCCGGCCAGGAGTAGGAGCACGGAGTCCTCCTGGGAGTTTCCAGGCCAGGCGGCCAGGACAGCTGTCACGCAGCAGCCAAGAGACGCGCGCAGTTGCTTCTCCATCCTCCTCCCAGCGCACTTGTGCCCACACCCCCGGGCGCCCCGCCCTCCGCCGCCTTATAGAAGGGGCCCGCACCTAGCGCGCCTCGGAGCTACCGGCTTCCCCGAGCAGACCGCGCGGCTGCCTAAAAGCCCAGACGCCACGGCCAGAGGAAAGAAGTGAGGCGGCGGCTACGCCCCGCATCATGGAGGGCAGCCCAGCCCTAGCCCCAGTCCGGGTGGACACCGACCTTCGCCGCCGCCCGCGCCCGGTCCGCCAGCTCCCGCTGCTGCTCTCCGGGCGCCGTCCTCTCCTCACCTCGAAGCCAACATGAAGGAGACCCGGGGCGACCGGAGCGCCCCTTTCTGCACCCGCCTCAACCACTCCTACCCGGGCATGTGGGCGCCCGAGCGCTCCGCCGCGGCGCAGGGCAACTTCACCGGTTCCCGGGACCCCCTCGAGGACTGCGGCTCGGTGTCGGTAGCCTTCCCGATCACTATGTTGATCACCGGCTTCGTGGGCAACGCGCTGGCCATGCTGCTCGTGTCTCGGAGCTACCGGCGGCGGGAGAGCAAGCGCAAGAAGTCGTTCCTGCTGTGCATCGGCTGGCTAGCGCTCACAGACCTGGTCGGGCAACTGCTCACCAGCCCGGTGGTCATCGTCGTGTACCTGTCCAAGCAGCGCTGGGAGCATCTCGACCCGTCGGGAAGGCTGTGCACCTTCTTCGGTCTGACCATGACTGTCTTTGGGCTCTCCTCGCTCTTCATTGCCAGCGCCATGGCCGTCGAGCGGGCGCTGGCCATCCGGGCGCCGCACTGGTACGCGAGCCACATGAAGACGCGCGCCACCCGCGCCGTGCTGCTCGGCGTGTGGGTGGCGGTGCTCGCCTTCGCCCTGTTGCCGGTGCTGGGCGTAGGCCAGTACACCATCCAGTGGCCCGGGACGTGGTGCTTCATTAGCACCGGAGGAGGGGGCAACGGGACGAGCACTTCGCACAACTGGGGCAACCTCTTCTTCGCCTCCACCTTTGCCTTCCTGGGGCTCTCGGCGCTGGCCGTCACTTTCGCCTGTAACCTGGCCACCATTAAGGCCCTGGTGTCCCGCTGCCGGGCCAAGGCCACGGCGTCGCAGTCCGGCGCCCAGTGGGGTCGGATCACCACCGAGACGGCCATCCAACTCATGGGGATCATGTGCGTGCTGTCGGTCTGCTGGTCGCCGTTGCTGGTACGTAGTTCCCGCGAGTGCGGAGGTCGGGGTGGGCGTGCGTGGCGGCGGGCAAACGAAACCTCTGGATGTGGCAGCTTCTGCAGGGGTGTGTTTGCAACCACAGAGGACTGGAGAGGCTTCTGCCCCCCATCTTGATTGTGGCTTCAGAGCTGAGCTCTTCATTTATTTGCTGAGCACCTTTCAAGTGCCAGGCATCATGTTAGGTTTTGTTTATGCACAACCGGAGACTACAGGGCTGCTCACATTCTAATCGGAGAGAGTAGGAGGATGCCCAGCTGTCATTTCAGTGCTCGTGCAGGGATACAGGTTTCTAATGGGTGCAGTGGGAGCTGAATGGCTGAGACAACTGTAGCCTCGTGCTATGCGTTTTCTCCTTAGTTTCAATACCTCTTGCAAGCTGAAGCGATTTTCAGTCTGCGGAAGTACCCTACCTGCGACAGCAGGCAGGCAACAGCCGTCTAGAAATTTCTGAGGTTGTGTGCGCTACTCCAGCAGAGCTGAAGCTGTCTTGCAGGCTCACTCTTGACTGGAAGCAGGAGAGTGAAGAGACGTCTTGCCGCTGCAGCCTGCCTCAGCCCTTTGGAATGGTGCTGTACCCTCTAGGAAGTGTTTGAACCGACATTCCGTCAGAGGGACCCCAAGGCCTGGGAACTCTGTGACCAGGCTGTGCTTGCCCTGGTGCCGAACATGCAGCACTGCGGCAAGGCGAGTCCTGAGATAGGATAGTAGGGGTTTCGCACTTCCCAGCTCCTCACAGAGGGGCATAGCCTGGGAGCACGTGATGCTTACACTTGCTTCTGTGTAACACCCCATCTTACCTGGTACTTTCCAGATTTTCTTCTGTGGTACTTTTAGCTAGAGATTTCTGTGGCTAAGTGTTGTTTAGAAATACCTGATGAATGAATATTTGTTTAGGTTCTAAATAGTCTGGCTTACTAAGGAGGTATGGCAGAAAGAGTGACTTGGTCATTGTGGCAGAGTTATAGGCGATTATAGATTAGACCTGGAATGTTATTAGACAGTTGTGAAAAACTTCTGAAACCCATGGACACGGTTTTCAGAACCACTCTCATATTGTTTTTCTTTGTGGTGATGAAATATATAACATGAAATTTACCATTTTAAGTGTGCAACTCAGTGGTATTAAGTATATTGACCTTGCTGTGCACCACATTTAAATTCCTTGTATTTAAAAACAGAACCTTAGTTCCTTTTTCCTTCCCACTCTCCCTTGCATTTGACAAAGCAGATATTCCAGAATACCTGTGTTTAACTGATGTAGTATATTTAGAGTACAAGTCTGGGCTCCAAATCAGTGACATGTGGTGACAAGGAGAGTTATGTCAGGACCTAGCTGCTCACAAGTCACTGTGTGGTCACAGTTCTGCATTCCAGGAGCTGGAACTCAGGCTGATGACATCACCATGACTTATCAAGACCAACACCAGTTTTAGGCATATTTACTTCTATGGTTGGAGATATATAGGTGGCCAAACAGAAGGGGGAAAGAGTTCTAAAAAATAAACACTTTATTAATATGGTGATTAACATAACTTTAAAGGCAAACAGAGTATCTGAATTTTTCACAGCTATCATTTGAGGCTAAGTTTGCTCTTATCACACACTTTATATCCTAAAAGAAATGCAATTAAATCATATGAATAAAATGCTTACCTCTACAGTTAACCAGACAAAGAGAAACTAAGTAGTGTGTTTTTATTTCAGAAGTTTGATTCTAATGCCGTGGGATTGGTAGCCCTAAGAATTTAGATCAGTTTTGAAAGTTGTAAGCTAGGGTGGCAAAACTCACTCTCTTAAGAAAGACATATTTGGAACTAGTCCTATTTAATTTCTGCATTCAAAAAATATTAACTGGTTTGCAACTTTTTAGCAGACACTGTATTGATTCAGTTCTTATAAAAACATTAAACTTAAAATGAAATAAATTCAACATGTAATCATATCAAAGAGGAGACATTCATGGTTTCCAAAGTAGGTATTTTTTAAACCAAAGGAAATGGTTCTGTCTTCTGTTTTGTGCACCATCGAAGATAAACCTTCAACTATCTTCAGAAAGATCTGCAATAAAAAGTTATTGCAAAGAAAAGAAACTGGCAAAACTGCTTTCTTAATAGGCTAGGGAGTTGTAAGAATAAAAACACTAGAACTTAGTGAATTGAATTTTTAATGTGTTAATGTTGAAGGGAAAGATCTTTTTTTATGTGTTTTAAACTACAGAAAAATATAGATTCCCTATTAGTTTTTGTTGAGTTGGATGTAGGATACTAATCTAATTATTCACACTCCTTACTTAAAAAGACCCTGAGTATATCTTATTTTGAAAACTATCACAACTATAATAATATTCAATGTTACTGCCGGAACACTTAGGAGAGAAGAGATCCCATAATAAGAAAACGTCTAACCTGCAACAAGTTTCTGTTAAATAAATACTTAAATAAAGGTTTACCCATGGTGTAAACAAAACTTTTTTACTTTTTCTTTTTCCCAAAAACTTCACAAAATACAATGTGAGATGTGAAATTGAAAATACAGTGGGAAATGATGTCACTGTGATAGATGATCTACTAATGATGGTCGCTTTATGTTTATGTGTGGCATCAAATCCTATTGGAATCAACCAGTTGACTCAGCAATGCAATCTATTTGACTTTTTATTATTATTTTATTTTTTTACCCAAATTCACCAACTAGTCCAGTTATTAGACTTGATAGCCAAGTTTCTAGAAACAGGAATCACCTCAGGGTGTTGTTCACCAAAAGCCATGAGTACATTTTGTGTTTGTGTAAACCTGACCCTCCCCAAACAGGTGGAATGTGGCTAACACTGTCGTCACTCTCTTAAAAATAGTAAATATATGGCGCGCCTGGGTAGCTCAGTCAGTTAAGCGTCTGCCTTTGGCTCAGGTCATGATCCTGAAGTCCTGGGATCAAGCCCCACGTCGAGCTCCAGGTCAGGTTCCCTGCTCAGGAGGGAGTTGGCTTCTCCCTCTCCCTCTACCCGTCCCCCTGCTCCTTCTCTCTCGCGTGCACTCACTCTCTCCCTCAAATAAATAAATAAAGTCTTTAAAAAAATAGTGAATATAAAACTAACATTGTGAAAAGTGAGGTCTGAGGAACAAAGTTTCTCTTCTACAACTTTGGAACTGGATAAAAGCAGCCATAGAAGCTTTTGCCTTTAATCTTGAGCCTGCGAATTCTCCTCGGTATCCACAAATGCAAATAGGGATGCTTCAGTTCAAGAAGATATTTCACAATGTGGATGTGACTGCTTTTAAATTTAAGGAATCACTGATACATTGTGACAAATGAAACTTGCTTTAAATATACCATGTGTGATAAATATATGCAATAGACTATTTACAGAGGTAACCCTGTTTATACTACAGAAAAGTACTATGGAATTGTTAATTTTCTCTGCCTGTAAATTTCTCCCTTATTTAGGATGTTGCTTGAGGGAAAATGATTACACATGTGAATTGGCATTATAGGAAAAAATCTTCTCTAACTGGTTTTTATAAGAATTGGGATTATTCAGAATACTTTTGTTTGTTTGTTTATTAAAATATACTTTAGGCACTGTGGAAGGGATATTAAGTAGAATTATTGAAAACTGGTCAAAGAGCTATAATCTGTTCAGAGAAGCAGAATCCCCACATTCATGAGTGAAACAATTAGAGAACAATGCAAGATTTTATGTAATTCGTGCCTTTGGTTCTGGGAAGAATGTCCATCTGACTTTAGCAGCGTAGACTTCGGGGAAGAGGAGGGATGGCAGAGCTTGACCTTGCAGCTGAGAGTGAGTGTGCCCAGGAGCCAGAGCAGAGCGTGTCCACTAGAACCATGGCAAAATGCTTTGAAAAGGTTTATGGGATCAGACTGAGGTTGTTAGGATGAACATGGGATGAGGACAACATTCTTTTGCCAGGAACCATAGGACTTTTATTTTGGGTTTCTGAATAGGGGAAAGAGTTTTTAAAAGATTGATAGGGCTGCAATAGAGACCTAAAGTTATCAGAAATGGTTGATTTAAGGAGTGATTGATTGACAAATATTTCTTCTGCCTCTCTCCTCTTCATTGCAGTTAATATTTTCACATCCATTATCCCATTTAACTGCATCTTGTAAGATTGCCACTATTCTTTACATCATTCAAAGAACACAAGTATAAAGAATATTAGAACTAGATTTCATTTATTTTCAGTTTTTGTTGTTGTTGATTTGTTTGTTTTTGCTTAGATAGAGGACAGGAATTCTAGCTCTAATAGTGGGCCCTGAGCAACTTATATATCTTCTTATCTGTAAAGTACGGAGTTTGGACCAACAGACATTTAAGGTATTTTTCCCATTTATGTTATTCTCAAGTTCTCTTACTGGGAAGAATGATGGTTCAATGAACAGGAATGGGAAATTTGGAAAGGAGACTGGATGGCCAATTGTTTTTTTGTAAGAACAGGCTCCTGAGTCACTGGGGTTTTAGACAAAGTACATATGGTGATGGTGGATTATCTAAATGATATATCTAGAAACCAATATAACTTGAAGATTAATGAGATAAATCAGGCCTTAAAAAACACAGATTTTTTATTTTGAGTATAAGAGAGAGAGCCAAGAATTAAACAGTTCTTAAGCCGTTCTATTTGAAGAAATTCAGATGGTCTAGAGTTGTAACATAATTGTGACTCATTGGCCTTTCTCTTTTGAAAGTGTAAAGGTCAAGAAATCAATTATGAAAGTTGCCATGGGTTCAGTTTTCTGGGAATAACCTTCAGGAATATGTGTTGCACACATTTGTAACAGAGAGTGATTCCTCCTAGGGTGCTGTGGGTGGCAGTGAGGGATTCCGGGTCATGTTTCAGTTTTCAGTTCTGGCCTTGTGAGGCAGGGAGGTTGGGAGGGAAGTCCTCCCTTAAACTCATTACATTTGTGTAATATTTTTTTAAAAGATTTTATTATTGATTTGAGTGATAGAGAGA